GCTATCCCCTAATCCCTTAAACCCCCACAAGAACTGCTATGTTCTTGTATACTATGTGCTCTATGTGTCCCCAATTCACATTCCCTTGTGTGAAGGACTGTTATTTGAGTGTTGCTGAACTTGTTTGAATGACCTGCTATTTGTTTAATTACACAACTATTTTCAAAAGTTGTTTTACGAAACAACTCTCTTGTTTACAAAATTATTTCAACTAAGTCTCTTTTTACGCTACTTTCCTGCTAAAACCTTTTCATAATTATGTCAAGTACTCTCACTCCACTCTTAGATCCTTAAGTTCTGTCCCTCCAGTGTATGACTGTTTTGGGATCCCTATGAGATCCCTCTGAACTCTGATACACTAAAGCTGGCTCTTCTATACTGCACTTACTCAGTTCTGGTTATAAAGTCTAGGTGCGAGCACTACCCGGGATCCTTGAGATCCTTAGGGAACTCTGACACACCTAGTCAATGATATTGTCTATGGAATTTGGCATTTGAGGCTATTGGAGGCTTGGGAAAATTATTTGGGCCTATTTTCAGGCTCCCTATAATGTAACTTCTTGTTTTCTTTTCTACTTATGTAATTTATGAAATATTGGTTTGTAATAATTTGTTGTAAACGAATATTGGGGATGGATAGTGAAAATGGGAGGGTAGTTATGCATGTTATAAACGTAAAAGGGGTAGAAACCATGCTTTAGGTTTACATTTCCTATATGCGCAATAGAATCCATGTTTAGGACCAACATGTACAAAGCATATCATGTATTAGAGACCATGCTCTTAGATTTCATGTATACTGTTTAAACATCTCATTTCGACATTCTTGCTATCATCCAGAGATCCTGTTCTAGGATAAAGGGCATTAAAATAAGAACTACTACTCCTGCACACTTGACAGCATGCTCTACAATGCTGTAACCTTTATGCATTTAGAAATCCTGCTCTTAGAAAATTCTGCAATTATGTTGTGCATTCGAAAATTCTGCTTTAGGAATCTTTCATATCAATCACTCTATACCTTATGTTTGCATATTAGATACCATGTTTAGGTCCTCGTTCACCCTCACTCAGCTATGCCTAGTTAAACTACTGATGCATGAAAAGGAATATAAACAGTATCATCCTGCTTTAAACAAATTAGTAATAACCCCGTATCTTTGTAACACCTAGAACAACATGCTCTTAGGCCAAACGACTTCTGAACTTCTAATGGTTCTGGTAATAACTATGCACTACCCTACGCCTAGGCAAGCCTTAGGTAATCAACTTTTATAAAAACTGAAAACGGCTCCTCTGTGTTTACTGCTTAATGACTGACAGGCTTAAAATCAGTAGGCAAACTGATTAGGGCCCCTACTTTGAGCTCATAAAATAAAACTGCCTATCCTCTATGTTTGATATCCACTTAGACATCATGCCTTAGGATCTTGTTTAATAATATTGCCCTTATTTGTGTTTGAGTCGTTTTGCTTATGTGCATTATTTACGGAGGTAAACCTGAGCCTCTAATTGCTTCTTTTCTGCCTTATGTGCTAAAGTCCTATTTGTTCTTGTATGTCGCCTAATATTTTCTCCTTATAAACCTTAAGGGTCTGTCTAGAACTGCCTATAGGTAGAGGTCCTGATTTTCTCCAGGACCATTAAGAAGGGACAGGTAACAGCACGCAATAGAGATCGTTAAACAACACTCACTTTAATAACCACTAAGCGGTGGAGAATGGGTAGATATGGGATATGATGACTACGCGTTAATGTCTTGTATAGCCCCTCATTAAGAAGTGTTTACCGAACATTGCGTGGGGTGATCCTGTAGGCTAACCAACCTAGGACCCCTCCTTTCCCAAATTCCTTTTGATTAAAACTTTTATTTTATGTACACAACTTGTTCAAATCTTTTGTCTTATTATCTGAGTCATACAATGTCCAACATGCTGTATTTGTAATTATTTGTTTCAACTACTTATTTGTTAAAGGACTAATTCACAAGTATAAGTTCGGCCGGGACCCACAGTTGTAGACCGAGAGGGTTCCTAACACCTTCACCTCAAGGTTATTTCAAGCTGTTACCCTAAATCTCTAGTAATGCAAACCAATCCAAGAGTTAATCACTCAAGGTGCCCTAACGCACCATAATTCGTTAGGTGACGACTCTTAAAAATACCAATTTCCAAAAGGAAATGAGTTACTACCCCCATGAATGTCGGAACCCGTACTCTTCGTGGAGGGAAAAAAGGGGGCGCGACAATTCCACCATGTTCTAGAACTGCATTTCACCTCACATAGTGCCAGTTCAATCGTGGTTAGTGTGCCCTCACGCCCTATTCTGTGGGAGGCTCATACCGCCCCTCGCACATACCCGACCCTAGGTAAGTTTTAGACCTTGTTCTTTCTACACCAACCCAACCCGTTCGATGATACTATAGCTACTACTACAACTGCAAGAACAATTACTGGAAGTAGAAGACTCCCTACCTATACCTAGCGGAGTTGGCACTAAACTAATAAGGAGAGCAGAAAGCAGCTAGCCGCCATCAGGAGATCCACGACTTTAAGATTAAGATCCGCTTATTCTTTGAGATGATAAAGCTCCCTACTAGACAAAAATTGCCGAATCAACACTAGGCAGTATAGGGGCTTCGCTGACAGAGTGCTATACATTGTCTAGCCTTCGTCAACTTTCAACAGTCTTTTGCTTACGCTGCTAAAGAAGCCTTCAAACCAATCAAGAGTGAGGCGGACTAGCGACCGGCTGGCAACCAATAAAGAATCAGGGTGACCGGCAAGCGACATGAGCGAAGGAAAAGCCTCGTCTAGCAACAAAGAGACGAATGACCGCAAGCTAGCAACAACGAAAGAATGAGCGACAACAGCTCGAAAGGCTTTAAGCATCTTGCATCTTGTAAGAGCCTACCTCTACCCGAAAGCAAGACCAGGGGCTAGGTAGAGAAAACCTAGTGGCGCGAGATAACTCTCTCCTTTGAACTCGACTATTTATCCTGAAAAACTCTACTTTACAAACTTGCCTGCCTCCGCTCAACCTTTCTGCCCCACCTATACTAATATTGGAGGATTTTTTTTATTTAGTAGATTTAGATGACTTTTCTAATGCTAGGAAGAGAGTCGACAACCCAACCGACGTCCACCATAGGCTCGGCGAGCTGTCCTCCTAGATTTCCCGAAGGTAATGCCAGGGCCTTTTCAGTACTGACGACTCTTGATGCCAAGAAGGAGACCAACTAGACGAGACAGACCATTGTTCATAGGTTGGNTGTTCCACTGCTTGAGAAAGTATGTGAGAGGATAAATGTTGAGCAGAAGTGGGGTTAAAGCAGCCAACAACTCATCCCCCTTTACTTAGTAGGGCTTGAAAGGCTAGATAGTTTGTATTCCTTTCCTGTGGTTTTGTTGGTTGGTTAATTGGTCACATTTTATTCATGAAATGGCTTGGATTGGTATTAGTCTGGATACGGCAAAATCATTCTATTAGATCGAATAAGTACATTCGATCTAATAAGTACCTTGTGTTAGAATTGAGAAATTCTATGGCTCAGATCTTTAGTATTCTCTTATTTATTACCTGTGTCTACTATTTAGGCAGAATACCCTCACCCNTTTTTTAGCATCTTTTAAATCGTAAATAAAATGAACCGAAAATTTTTAGCATTCGGAATGCATTCCTTGCTTGGTTCTCCCGTGAGGGAAGGTCTAGTATACAATTTTATTCTTTTTGATCGAAGCTCTATCTCTCATTCAACCCTTCGCAAGCTTCCTTCAAAAGGGGAGTCCATAGGCGCGAATACTCGGATTGGACTTGGAATCCCCCGCGGAGTTGAACACTGACTTCGGCCAGGAGATTGATAGAGACCATCCTTTGATTGAGAGAGCCAGAGCCCTTCAGTGGTACAAGGATATAAAATTCCCAAAGTGCTTCTCCGATTGCTCAAGACATCTCTTTTCAACCGAGGAACAAAACAAGATCATTTCGTTACTCGAGAACTCAAAGGGGGGAAAGAATTCTTCAACATAGTCACAAGAAGGTGGTCTACGGGGAATCAGTCTTAAGAAACTTCTTTATTCAAAACAAAACAAAAATACATGAAATGACCCCATTCTGCAGCAGAGTATGAACACACGATAGCTCACGTTTGATTCCTATCTTCAGGAGCATGAAATCAAAGACCCTTGACACTTGCCTAACGGAGTCAGCCCAACATGGACAATGATAGGCAGACCAATGTCCATTATTTATAGTTCTTGCATTAACCGGTCTTTAATTAGGTGTAGCTATATCACAAGCTCTTCCTTACCTCGGGTAGGTTGAAAAAGCTGCTAAGAAGAAAAGTTTTCTTTTATCTTGCGACCTTCCACGCCAAGGAGGGTCTCTCACCGGTACTTACTATAAGGGGTGGGGCAACCGGTTAAAACCAAATATCCAACAGCTGCTTTCCTTAATGGCTACCCGCTTTCGAGTGAACTGAACTCTTGGGCTGACTGAAAGGGAAAGGGGAAACTGTACAAGGTATTTTTCACTCGTTTACGGGACCAGTGTCAAAGGAAAGGATTGTTTATCCGCCTATGATAGTGAGCCTCGAACCTTACTATATTATATTATAATTTTATTCGACTACTTCAGATACTAATGCGGGACTAATTTGCAATTTCGATCTAAACCCGCAAACCCATATCTTTATATACGAAATTACTTCGTCCTTTTTTTTAGCCTTTTTTCGTTTGTGCATCTTTTTTTCTCCCATGCTTACCGTTGGTTAACAACCAACCAAAGTGCTCTATACTTCTTCACTACTCGTACAGGTTTGACAGAGCTTTGACCCTTTTTCTTTTATTTTTAAACCAAAACCGACCCCATATCTTTTATTTCACTCGACTGAACCCCCACC